CTATTAGTATAGTACTTGCAGGAACATAAATTTTGTTGTCTAGTGAATATTCGATTGTACCAGTAACTACACTAGTGCTCTAGTAACAGAAGTTTTATACGCTTACACGAACAATTTACTCGTTCTTCCGAAAAGCTTCATCTATATTAATGTATTGTATAAATATATGATAGTATTGTATTATGTATATAGTACACGGTAAAATTTTATTCAAGAACCTCTAAAGTGGCAGCCATAAAACCAGGAATCAAAATATTATCATTCAAATCACTATTACCTTCCAAAATACCACTTAATGTACAGGTTAGTAACAAAGAATGAAAAGTCTTATCAACAAAGAACCATCCAATATGTTTTAAAAAGGCACAAACAGCATATGTTGAGACAATAAAAGTTAATGTACCTTCAATAGTCTTTTTGGAGCGACCCCAATATATAGTACCATAGTTGGAACCAATAATTGAGGCTAATGAATCACCGACACCTAAAACCACCAATCCAACGATAGAGTTATTAAACAAGATTGGTAAAGTAATACCGATGAATAAATAAATGTAAGAAACAATAATTGGTCCTTTTTCATCCCTGAAATCTGCAAATAATCTTAAATGACTATCGAGTAAAGAACCAAATGGATTTAGTTTTAAATATCTAATCTGTTCAACAAGTAAAAACAAAATCAACGAGCCTGCTAAACTAACTTTCACAAATTCAGAATCTAAATGTAATGGATAAACTAATAATCCAAGGACAAGGAAATGCCAGATTTTTCTTCTAAAATTAGGTGATAACTGAATTTTATAATTGAAGATTGTTGGAATCAATAATAATAGCGATAGTAGCCAAATTGAAAGAATCTTGATTCTTGAATCGGTGGCTGTTGCATATTCATAGATCCATACTAAAGAATTATTACCCAAAATTGGATCTAATTGATATAATGTAGCACCAACAAATGTACCAGTCCATGATAGTGTAATTAGTGAAGTTCTTAACAAAGTATTTGATTTGTAAACTTTTGTAATCAAAAATAATAAAGCTAACCCGATACCAAATGAGATGAACAATTTTTGCAAAATCACGACATATAATGCATCTGAATTAATCATATATAAATTTGTTAATAAAATACTGAATAATCCAACTTCCACTTCATCTAATGATTTAAATTCAGAAATACTACCTAATGCATAATTTACCACTAAATGTCCAGCAACAACTTTGGCATTATAAACAGTGTCCATATGTTCAGTATTAGAGTTTAAGATAGAAAGCTGAATAACAAGTTTAGCAATGAATGGGAGTTTCAAAACAGATGTAGTTAATGCCACATTGAATAATAACAAACTTCTATCATAAACCAAAGCCAAAGATGCAGGTAAAAATACTAAATAGACAATATTCCATGATGGTAAAGGAACTTCTTCATTTGATCCATTAGATTTAGCAGTTTCATTTTGAACCCTTTGAGTAATGACCAATGCTGAAATTAAAGCTAAAACACCACAAGCAACACTAATCAATAAATTAATTTCTTTATCATCTTGAAATTCTTCCCAATATTTGATATGAGCAAGATTAAGAACCAATGATAAAACTGAAGTTTGAATAATTTTATCAGATGTAATATATTTAGTACCAACTGTACCCAACCATCTCAATAATCTTTCCTGTGGGAGTCGAGGCATATCATTCTTTGGTTTTAGTTTTTGTTCTTGTGTCTCTTTCTCTGCCAACTCTTGAGCTTCCGCCTCTTCAAGTTTTCGTTGTTTGGTTTCAGCTGCGAGTTTCTTGCGCTCTCTTTGCGTAAGAGTTGACGAGCCGCCCTTGGAAACCATATTATGAGGTATACTTTTTTTTTGAGCTTCAAAATCTTATCTTTTCATTATAATCAAAAGAATTTCGATATAATTTGACATGTTTTTTTTTGTTGTCTGATTATCGATCGCGTTTCGGATTTTTCAATTTATACTTTAAGCGATTTCCTTTTCTTTAACCGAGAATATTATTTATATGTTGTGCTACAATTTAAACAAATTTTCTATCGTAAAGTCGTATTAAATATAAAAAATTTACAGAAATATTGTTTTTGCTGTTGTCCAATGAGTCTCAACTGATTAAGTGCGTTGACTTTCTGAACTTTTGCTTAAAAGACTGGTGCTTTCGACATTTGCTCCTTGTTCTTCAGAACTTTCTTCAATATCATTTGGGAAAGTTTCATATTCTTCAGAAGTACCACCAACTGTTGATAAACCAACAGTTTTCAATTCTTCAAGCATCAGTTCTCTGACTTTAGAGGAGAATGCACCAATATCTTCTTTTTTCAAGTCTTTAGTTGGTAATGGTTCTAAAACTTTAATCACAATTTCACCACTTTCAAATGTTTTTGTTGAAGAATCAAGTAATGGAGATGTAACTGATACAACTAATGGGATAACTGGAATACCAGCTTGTTGAGCTAAATGGAAAGCACCCTTTTTGAATGGTAACAATTCTGGAGTTTTACAATAGGATCTTGTACCTTCTGGGAAAATATATAAACCTCTCTTTTTTTCTCTTAAGTTATCTAAAGCCTTGTTTAAGGTACGAACTGATTTTTCTCTATTTGAACGATCTAAGAAGAATGTACCACTTAAAGACATGAACCAACCTAAAAATGGTGTATATTTTAATGATTTTTTTGAAGTAACAACACAACCTTTTGGAAAGACTCTACCTAAAATAAGAATATCCAAAACACTTTGATGGTTTGAAATCAAGATTGCTGGTAAGTTATTTAAACGTTCTCCGTTGATTAATTTGATTTTGATACCCAATAATGAGCTGAAAGTATAGTAAAACACTCTTGCAGTGGTCCATTGTGCAAGATGACGCTTTCCAACAAGTGTCAAGGCAATAGAGGCTAAAACACCATAAAGAGCACAACCACCCAAGACAGTAGCAGCTAAGAAAGTTTTGGAGTAAAATTTGACAGCTTTCAAGAATCCCATATTGACTGATGATTAAGAAACGAACGTAAACAGATTATTTTTGCAGTTCAGGATCCTTAAAAGTTAAAACCCAACCAACTAAATTTTGTATAGTAATTTGTGCAAGGATCAAAACCAAAATTTGATTTTTAGTTCAACAGAAGTTTGACACTTTATGGAATGACAGAGAACTTTTACCGCCAAAAAGAAGGCTAATATTCCTCAGGAACAGGTGTATGAGACGACCTGACTTCATTCTATAGTGTGATTGGATTGTCTAATATATAACTATGTGTATACTTTCATAGAAGTGGCTGCCATCACTTTTGAGTTCCACTGCTATTAAAACGTCCATACAAATATCACCAAACTATGTCATGTGACCTTGACTTCATGTTGGATATAACGATTTGGAATCCTGAAATCAGCGGCTGATGGCAAAAAGATCAGAAGATATATAAAGATGACTTTTGTACTGGAGTTTCAATTCCAGAGCAATTTAGTCGTTATAGGGACAATTGACATATATTTACATTATTTATTACTTAAAAACTTGATATTAGACATTGACCTGTTACATCGATTAGAAATAAGAGCATCATCATAAAACGTATCCATTTGCCATTATTATATTACCTGCTGTGGGTTGGACACTGATTATACCACACGATAATGTCACAAAACATCAACGCCCCTATTCCATTGAGGAATAAGGCTCTGTTGAATATAGCGACGGATCAATCAAAACCAATTAGACCAGCATCAAGTTTAGATTCATCAAGTCAAGCTAAGAAGGCTAGATTGGAAACTAAGAGATTAACCCCAGATCCTTTTGGTGTGAAGCAAAAACAAGATGGGAACATACCAGATTCAGAAGATGAACTGTTAAAGAAGCGTTTAAAGCATTATGGTTTAGATTATCCTGATAATTATGAAGATTATTTAAAGGAATCTTTGAATAAAGACTCCAAGTTTTATGCGAGGGATGAGGCTAGAAAATTGGATTTGAAAAAGTTATTACCTTATAATACAGAATCTCACAAAGATCAAGCAAAATATTTGACTCAAATTTTGGTTCATTTATACATTGCAATCAAATCATCAGATCTTGAAGGATTGGTTAGTATTTCCACAAAGGACTTGGCTGCTGTTAAAAATGATATTGAACTTGCATTAGATACAGATTTTTATAACACAGATTTATCATTTGATTATGAAAATGACGAGGAGAATGATGACGCTGATCAGGATGATGAAAATAGTAAGTCATCTGGTGTCATTGGGAAAATATTACCTAGATCAGCCACTATCATCAGTGTTAATCATTGGACCAATGAATTGAAAACTTGCTTGAAGGCAAAATTTGATATTCCATTGAAATTAAGAGCATCTTTAGCAAAAGTATATTATTATTTATCATTGGCTAAAGGTCAATCAATCAACTCACAATTGTTTATTGATGTCTTTGTCAAATTGACTTACAAGTATAGGGATCAATTAGTTGAGAATAATCTGTTGGTATTGAATCATAAACCATTATTAGAATTAATCGTGGATTTCTTCCCAGATGTTGATCCTACTTATGACATTTATAATCCAACGACTAATGAATCTGATAAAAAGGTTTTCAATAATACAATGAGGTTAGCATTAAACTCCAACTATTTCTTTGAGCCAAAATCAATGCGTGAGATTTATGAATTTACATTATCAAGGTTTTCAATCCCTACTGCATTTTTGAGTTTAACAGTTTTATGTAACACTCTACCTGTTTTTATCACTAAAGATGATTCAATCTTGAATTATGTGTCATCATTGTTCTACTTTTGGTCAAACAACACATCCATCAAAGCTTTAGATGTTAATATCATTGATTTGTTAGGTCGTATCTCACGTACAGTATATTCACACGTTTCTTCGGGTACAATTGATATTACACTTGGTGATTACGGTATCTATACTGAAGGTCAAATTGATTTCATGCTTAACAAAATTCAAAACAATTTAAGAAATGATTTTAAGGTATCTACATTTTATGGACTGGCAAGAATCTTGGTTTATTCAATCAATAATCAATCTTTCCAAAATTTTTATAAAAAATTAGATATTTTGTTGAAATCAATTGAAACATTTGCACATCCTTCAAATACTGGATCTTGGTCAGTGCTGATTGCCAGATTTTGTCATAGATTTATCAAGCAATATCATAAAAGACACATGTTGGAAAAAACCTCTGAAAACCAGCTACCAGAAGGGTTGAAGCTTACAACTGAGACTAACGCCAAAATAATTGATCTTTTCAGAGAGGTTGTTCTATTAGGGTCACAAGCTAAAAGAGACTCGATTTGTAATTATTACATTGCATCTTTAGGATATTTAACAGATTTGGAAGCCAAAAACAAATTTATTTTGGTCAATCAAGTGTTGGTTGATTTATATGATGCCTTAACTGATCAATTTATTAATTCAAGTCATAGAATTATCGTTTCATTAAAACAATTCACTGAAGTTTCTAGATTTATGATACATGACAAAGTTTATAGAGTTCATATGACAAATTTGCTTTCTCTATTGTTAACTAAGATTGGTAATAATGACTTGGACCTAACAAATAATGTGTTTAATACCTTGGTCACAGTTGGTTCTCTGATTCCATTCAAAGATTTATCTACAGAAGATGATTATGTTTCGTTTGAATCAACAACTATTGGTTTTATTCAAGACCACCTATTTTTCTTGAAAGAAAACCCATTAGATGAGTTTGTTGTTGACGAAACCACCATTCATAATGCATATATTGCATCAAGTAAGGCATTCCCAGATATTACTAAAGGATTTGTTGATAAATTATTCTTTTTGTTGGAAGCAGATTTGAACGAAAGATTGGTTTTCAAGGTTACACAATCATTGTTGATTTTATCTCAATCCTTTTCCCCAGAAATCTTTAATTTATTTGCAAATATTTTACAAGAAAAGTTCCATCAGGGTGATTTCTACGACATGAATGATAATGAAGCTTTGTTATCTAATATTTATGGTACATTAGTTAAGTATGATAACTCACGTTTTGATTACTATTTTAACCTTTTAGCTGATCTTATTGAGGAAGAAATTGAGCAAGGTGCTGGTTCTGTCAGAAACAACACCAGTAGCATTCGTAGTGGTGATAAGAAATTAGTTGTCTATCTTGCATTGATTGCTGAAATTTTGAGTGTTTCAAATAATAAAGTATTGGATCATAAAGAAAAATTCATGAATTTAGCACAATTACTTTATGAAAAAATTAGAAATCCATCTCTTCATGGATTAGCTTCCAACATCATCCATAAAACCTTATCAAATCTTACAGGGTTAAGGCTAGTTGAAAGCAGTTTATTTAGAAAAGAACAAAATATTAATTATGAAGAATATTGGGGCGGCAAACAATTTGATGATGATAGGTTCAATTCTGAGAATTTGAAGTTTGACTGGTATGTACCAGGTAATGCAGAGGTGTCGTTTGCTGTGGAGTTATTTGAAACAATCACGGTTGAAACTTTGTCAAAGTTGGAAGAACTTACCACAAATTCCACAATATCTGGTCTTGAATTTTCTGATGAGTTTACAAAACATCTTTTGTATATCAGCAGCTCACTTTCAGGTAATAGTATTTTGTTTGATCCTGATTACAACAATGACCATAGTGACAAAAATGAAACTTTCAATGCAACTACCTTACAAAGAAAATTACTGATTCTGAAATCATTGAGAGCTTCGAGAAGCGATGAAAGAGAATTTAATATTGATATTGAGGAAATTACTAAACATCATGAAGGTGATGATCAAGTATCAGATCGCCCACTAAATGAGAGTTATAGAAGTGATATTAAAGAAGACTTCAAGGACTTTAATGGTGTTGTTAATGGGGTTGCTTACGATGTTGAAGGTATAAATATTGAAGATGAAGTTCCAAGCTCTAGATTGCTGACTCCTATGGCTCAGCATGATAGTGATCTCACTTCAATCATGAATTCATCTGTTGCTTTTAGAGAGCTTAGAATTTACAATTGTAACTACTTTTTTGGTTCAAATTCTTTAGAAAAGAAATCGTATACTAATTACGGACATATTCATCAATTGAGAGCATTGGTTGGGCATGGTTTACATAAAGCGTATGAATATTTGACAAAAAGTGAGGCTGATAATGTCCATCTTTTCCAAGCGTTATTACATACTTTGGAAACATATTTCTGTGATGTTGGTAAAGTTTCAACCATTGATTTTGAGGATGAATTATTTATTGATTATACTTTCTTGAAAAGAGTCCAGTCTATTGGTAATTACTCTAAACCTTTCACAAGATCATGCCTTGGTGCAAGAATTGAAAAATATCACCGTCAAAGGGTTATTCTACATTCAACGAACAGATTTCAAACTAAATTAGATAAAATTCTTTTAAGGGATATTGTTGAATTAGCAACGTCTGCTTATGCTAATATTTATCAACCGGGCCAAATGACAATGATTGAGACAATGAAAAAATTAATCGGTTCTTATAATTTAATTTTATCATTAGTGTTTGAAAATATTGAATCTGCAATTGCTGATAAAGATTTTAAGAGGGTTGAGGCTGGTCTAAGAATCTTCAGACTGAAAAAGATCCACAACAAACTATTATCAGATTACGTCAATATAGGTAAAGTTACCGATATTTTATCTCGTTGTTTGCTCATTGACAATCTTGAAGTCAACTTTTTAGCTCAAAAAGGATTTAATGATTTTTCCACAGCTATCAAAATCCCATCGGCTATTGCATTATTTGAGTCTGATGAAATTGATAAGGCTATTAGACCACCTGATAAGTGCATTGACTTGGAAATTCAAACAGTTAAGGCAGCTAAAGATGCCAAAAGAAGTTTTTATATGAATAAGATTGATGACCTACAAGAATATTTAATCAAAGCTGAATCTGAAAATGAGCATTGGAAGTTATCACTTCTCTATCTAAAGTTTTTAACAAATATTCAAAATTATTATGAGGTACCAGCTAAGAAAAAGGTGTTGGAATTGTTAATTCAAAAGTCACAGTATCATCATCCAGCTTTGGTGCGTCTTTGTATTAGGGCATCTACTAAAATATTTGACAAGATTGTGAGATTTGCAATTTTCCGTTATGACTTGCTGAATTCTTTCAACAACAAATATGGAAGGGAAGGTATGGTCCAAATAGATACTAGACATGGGTTCTCAGACAAGTTCAAGGCAGAAATGAATAACTTTGAGTCACCAAATTACTATATTGATGGTAGAGCATTTAAGGGGTGGTTATTCTGGAGCGATCATATACAAGCAATCGATCCTAACAAAGCTGCAGTTGATGTCAAATTTAATGACGAAGATATCGAAAGCTTAAAACTTTTCGGATCTCTTATAACAAAGGATTGGGTCAGTTCCGTCATTAAAACTTTAATGCAAGACAATGAAACTAAAGGTATTTTCCAAAGTATTGATGTTTTTTTGTTTTCTACCATTGTTCATTTGATTTCTTTGAAGTTCACAAAAATATCATATCAAGAGTTATTACATTTGATTGTTGAACACTACGACAAAGACGAAAAGGCATCTGTTATCGTTGTTGCTGAAATTGTGTGTGGTCTTCTAGTGGCAACAAATCATACCACCCATGAAGATGTTCAAGCTAGAGACAGTTTCTTAAGTCCATTTTTAGATTTGGTTTTAACTAATGATCTTGCACCAGATACTTCTGGTGTTTGGAATATTGTTTTTTGGTGGATACCTTCGAGAATTGATGTTAGGAGGATACCAATACTCGCTGAAAAGGTTGAGCGTCTTGAAACTGTCATTGATGTTAATTCTGACTTGGCATTCATTCAATCTGCTAGAATTAATTTTACAAAGTCATATCTTGCAAGTTTAGGTTGGAGATTCAACGGTGCTGAGAGTATTTTTGATAAGCTACTTTTTGAGCATCCTTATCAACTAGTTAGAGATCAAGTTGGTGGTCTGGTTGCAACATTAGCATTTACCATTTTCAGAGAATCTTACGATAATTTGGATGGATTTTTACAAGCTCAACAATCTAATGAACTGGGTGTTCTTACTTATGAAACTCCACAAACATTCGATAACAGAATCAAGAAATTATTTGATCATGCTGAAGAATTGAGGAAAGAAACAACCGAGTTGACAACACAAGAAGCTTTGAAGTCTAATTATTTTTACATTTCTTCCACTATTTTAAGATGGCTAGAAGATGCTTTAAGTGGTGTGTTCTCCGTTGCATTATCACCTTTTGTTAAGAGTCATATAACTCCATTTTTGTCAAAGCTAGAAAGTAACAGAGAATTGTGTAAACTTGCAGGCATCAACCCTGGTTATGTATATCATAATCTTGCTGATATATCATATAGACCAGAAATTCTACCTGCAATTATAGATGTCACAGAAAGAGATAATTCTACAATTCACCAAGTATTGTTACAGTTATCATTCATTGAAACTTTTTTTTCTCGTCAATTATTGCAATTGACAGATTCTCAGAAACATCAATTATTATCTCGTGTCGATAAGATGTTATTCCATAGTAATGTTGAGGTTAGACACAAGGCTGCTAATGTTCTTTCAGGATTTATTCACAGCTCATTGGGATTTGATGGTGTTAAGGAATTTACAGATAAATATTCAAAAGTTTTGACCAAAAGAAGAGCAAAAAACAAGAAGTTTACAAATGAAGAAACCATCAAACTACACGGTAGTGCTATTGGTTTAGGTGCTTTGATTTCAGCATATCCTTATGTTTCACCACCGCCAAAGTGGCTTCCAGAGCAAATTTCAATTTTATCTAAAGCTGTTTCACATCCTGGAATCATTGGTAAATCTGCAAAGGATATTTTGAGTACATTCAAAAAAATAAGATCTGATACATGGCATATAGATAGATTATCTTTCACAGAAGATCAATTAGAAGATTTAGAAGGTGTCTTGTGGAGAAGTTATTTTGCCTAAGACACTATCTAGAATTATGGTTACTGTATAGTATTATTTTGTGAACAATTATATAAGTATTTTTGTTTTATTGAAGGATCTGACAAGTAGTGAGTGACTTTGTTACCTACAATCGTCGTAGAATTAACCCAGGCTACATTTTTATCAAATTTTTAATTGATATTCAATTTCGAGATAATTAATGTAATTCATAGTATACAAACAGATCACTAACGATCAATCAAGCACGGGTAGATTTCCCTCTTTGATTATTTCTTTTGTCCATACCATTCAAAGCACCTGAAATAGAACCTGGAGCACTTGATAGAGCACCAGTAACAGGAGCAAATTTAAAGTTTTGATTACGTTTGTGATGATGAGCATTATTATGTTGATCTTTACCAGCATTATTACCACCGTGGTGATAACCTTGTTGTTGTTGATGACCACCAGCTAAACGTTCGTTACGATCAGATAATGATGAAGCTCTATCAGCTAAATCTAATGCCAATTCTTGTAATCTAGTTAATTCAACACCTTTAGTGAAAACAACAGATTTGGAAACTTGATCTAAACCAGCTGAAATTTCTTCATTGAAGATCATTTTAGATAAAACAGCTGAAACTTTACTTTCTGATAATTCGAAAATTTGTGATAATTTAACAATTGAAAGTTTTGAATAGAATGATTTGAATTGGAAAATATAAGTTCTTAAACCTTCAACTTGTAATTTTTCTTTGATTAATTCTCTAATCTTATCAGATTCTGGGAATAAATTCCAAATTTTAATTGAATTTAATAATTCTGAAGCTTTTTTCCAATTACCAGCTTGTAATTGTTTAGCAGCAGTCATAACATAATCTCTTGTGTTTTCTGGTGGACCTTGGAAAGTTTGTTTTTCATGGTATTCTAATGTACGACGGAATGATTTGGTTTGTAATCTCTTTTTAGCATCAACAGATGTACCTAATTGTGCATATTGTGGGATTTCAATTAATAAAGAACTTGTTAAAAATACAGTTTCAAGTAATTCCAAATTTATATGTGTGTGGAAAGGTAATAAACGTTGTTTATCAGCAACTGTGTTTTGATTACTATATCTTTGAGCACCTTGACCTAATAATTCTTTATGACGTGTTGAAGTGGCAATTTCTTGTAAAGTTTGATGAGCTTCAGAAATTAAACCATTTCTAAAAGCACATAAACCAAGTTGAACCAAAGCTCTGTTGAATAATATTTGAACTGATGGATCAGAAGTGTGAATTGATGATTGTAAATGAGAAATCAAAAACATATCTCTAGCTTTGAAATATTTATTATTGAATGCATAAAAATAGATATGAGATAACATAGCACGTTTACGATAAACGGCATTTGTTTGTCTGTATAAGATTGAAGCTAATGAATCTAATAATGTATCAATGTATGATTCTTCTTCAGTGTATGGAGCAATGTATGATGTTTGTGCTGTTGGTTTTAATGATTCCCAAGCAGTAGCTTCACTTTGTTTTATTAAACCAGATGGTTTGAAATAAATATGATCAATTCTTCTTGAAACAACTCTAGCAATTTGATCACCTTTAGCTGAAACAATTTCAGATTCTGGGATGATGAATTCAGAATATAGTTGAGCACGGATGATTGTAGTGTATAATTCTTGTTCATCTTTTAAACGATCAATATATTCAGTGGTGTGTGGATCAATAACTTGTAATGAACGAGTGAATTCATCATCTAATCTTTCAACAAATGAAACAACTGAACCTACAACTTCACGAACACCTTCACTATTTGGAGTTGGTTCAACTTCAATATCATCTGAAGCTTCAGCAGTTTCAGTGACACGATATTGAGATTTGTTATCTTCCAAGATTTTGAATAAATTGTTGATATCTTTAGCAGCTAATTTCCATTGATCAATTGATAAGTATGATAAGTTTGCTGAGCCATCAAATCTATAAGGAATCAACATCAAGTATACAATAATGGCTTGATATGGAGTTGAAGCTTCTTCCGCTAAAGTTTCTAAAGTTTTAACTTGTTCACGAGAATCAACATTCTTTTTACCTCTTGATTCAGCAACTGAACGTAAAGTTTTGAAGAATGAAGTACTTTCAGTAGTTTTACCACTTTTACCAACAGTACTGAAACCTTCACCTGGAACTGGAGTGGATGCTTTTGATGGGGTTTCTGTGATTGGAGCTTCTTTTTCAAAAGCTTCTGGGTTTTCTCTGAAGGAATCAACTAATGAACTATTTTCACGGACAGCTTTTTTAACTCTTTGTCTCACAGTGTTGAAAGCTTTTGAAACACTAGCGTTTAATTTCTTCTTATCTTGTTGAGTATCTTGAATTGTTTCATCCAATTGAGCAATAGTCTTGATGTAAATGTTTGGAGTGGACAAGTTTTGTTGTTGAGCACGGATCAATAAACGGTTCAATTTGTCAAATTCTGATAAAACCACTATCCAATCATTGTCTTCTTTAGAGGTATCAATGGTGTTGATGGCGCTTCTGATTTCATCAAGTAATTTATCTTTAGCACTCTTCACAACTTTTTTACCATCTTCTTCATCAGATGAATCATCATCACTTGCTGCACCTTTTGTGAACTTGCTTTTCAAGAAATAAGCTGGACCTGATGGTGTATCTTCATCAGAATCAGAATCATCACTATCATTTGCAAAAGCTGAATCATCGGATTCTTCAGCTTCTTCATCTTCACTTTCAGATCTTAATTCTTCTTCTTCTTCAGAGGAACTGAGCAATTCTTCCTCAGATGAGGAGTAGTCTGAGTCTGAGACTCCACCAGCGAAAAAACGGGACATTGTTTGCTTGTATGAACTGGTTCTTTTGACGTGTTGATTAGCTTTTAATTCAGTTCTTCTTCATATATTTTCACTTTTTTTTTCGACAAAAAAAATTATCACGTACAAAATCTCGCAGTAAAACTGGGAACGGATCGCGCTTGACAACTATGAGTGTACGCGTAAATCTGAGTAACCATGGTGGAAATATTCGCTAATGGTCGGATTCTTATACTTCAAAAAAGATATTTATGCTAAAATATATCACAATTACACTCTAAGTAGCATTTACACAGTTTTCCTATTCAAATTCTCCTTTAAATTCACCATTTCCTCAATTTCTGTGATTTGAATTATTCGCGGATTGTTTTTTCAATCTGAGAAATTACGTAATCAAAAGAAAATCAAAAAAAAAAAAAATTAGTGCGATGCGATTGCAAATAAATTTATAATGAAAATTAATATGAGAAGTTAGAACTGATCTTTAAATTGTTTAAACGGACTACATTTGGAATCATAGATATAAGGGAAAGGTTTATACTGGAGAATTCAACCAAATATACACAGAAAGAAATATATTAAAATGTCTTCAACTACACCACGTCCAAAACTATCACAATTATGTGAACTATGTCATTGTCGTAAAGCTATGATTAAAAGACCAAAGAATTTACAAAAAATTTGTAAATTATGTTTTTATAACGTTTTTGAAACTGAAATTCATAATACTATAGTTAATAATAAATTATTTTATCCTGGAGAAAGAATAGCTGTTGGTGCATCTGGTGGTAAAGATTCTACAGTTTTAGCTTATATATTGAAATTATTAAATGAAAGATATAATTATGGAGTGGAAATTGTTTTATTGAGTATAGATGAAGGTATCGTTGGTTATAGAGATGATTCCCTTGCTACTGTTAAGCGTAATAAAGAACAATATAATTTACCATTAGAAATTGTATCATATAAAGATCTTTATAATTGGAGTATGGATGAAATTGTTAGTTGTGCAGGTATTAGAAATAGTTGTACATATTGTGGTGTTTTAAGAAGACAAGCTTTAGATAGAGGTGCTGCTAAATTAGGTATAAATCATGTTGTCACGGGGCATAATGCAGATGATATGGCTGAAACTGTATTGATGAATTTATTAAGAGGTGATGTTGCAAGATTAGAAAAATCAACAACTATAATGACATCAAGTAGTGGATCACCAATTAAAAGATCAAAACCTTTTAAATATTCATATCAAAAAGAAATTGTTCTCTATGCACATTATAAGAAATTGGATTATTTTTCCACTGAATGTACTTATGCACCAGAAGCTTTTAGAGGTACTACAAGAGAATTAATGAAAAATTTAGAAGCAATTAGACCAAGCTGTATTATTGATATTATTCATTCAGGTGAAAATTTTGTTCTTAGAGAGAAAAAAATAAGACAACAATTTAGAAAAAATCCACCAAAACAATCTACAGAATCAAAAGGAGGTCCAATTAATGAAGAAATTGAAGTTAGAGCAGATGGATCAATATCATTAAATAAAAAAGGATTTGTTGATGGTAATAGATGTGAAAAATGTGGTTATTTATCAAGTAATAAAATATGTAAAGCTTGTATGTTATTAGAAGGTTTAGAAATGAATAGAGCTAAGATTTCAATTGATAATAATGAATCAATAGATGGTGCTGCAAAAGTGGTTCGTACATTAGAACAACTTACATTTTGAGTATCTGATTTAATGAATTACATATAATATACAAAGGTGGGTTTGAAATGAATTTTTGAAGGTTGGTTTTATATCTATAGATTTATGTACATATAATGTTGAACAAATTATTTATTATTTTATTTTTATTCTATATATTTCATGTGTTGTACTAGTAATGATGTGATATGATCAAAATTCAACTAACCATTTAGATAAATCATCAGTCATATCGTCAGTGACTTCATGTTCAGCATTATATTTTAAAGCTTGGAATTGTAGAGATGGATTAAATTGATCCCTTGTTTTCACATCAGTATCATGGAGGTTCAAGAATGGAATAGAATAATCCATTAATACTAATGGATCAAATTCACCAAATAATGCAAAAGTTTTAAGCTTTTTGGTATCATAAGTATGTGCCACTAATGCATCATTTTTAGAAACGATATCAAATAAAGATCTTGGATATTTTTCCTGATCAAAATTTTTTTGAAGAATACCATAAGATTCATTATATAATGTCTTTCTATTGAACTTCCCCAATCTGTTCAATAATAATGAACTTAGATCAAAACACCCAACTATTGGAGCGGCACCATCATAAACCCCAGGGAATCTGGTGACAGATTGAATAGTTGTGTGACCACCCATTGAGACACCACTAACTATATAACGAGTTTGTTTAAATTTGTTTAAACCTGGGACGAATGAAGGTAAGTAATCATGAATAGTTTTTAATTCCACAACAGCACCATCTATATATGATATCATATCAGCAGCATGAGTTATATTACCTTTATTCCAACTTTGTTGATTTAGTTCATTTATTAATCTTTTACCATGATTTCTAAAATCAAAAGTTATGATAACAATTGGTTCGATATTATCTTGTGAGATTTTATAATACTTGGTGATCAAATCATGAGCTAATTCTTCAATTATAGCAGCACTTGAAGTTCTACCATGTAATAGGTATACAATTTTCAATGATTCATTAGATTTTTTATTGTCATGATTGTTGAAAGGATTAGTTTTATCTTTATGGAAATAAGCGTATGTTTCTAAACCAGCAATCAACTGAGTCACTTTTTCGATCAAAGGGTTTGGATGACCAGCACTTGCAAATGAGTGTGCCATATTTATGAGATGGTATTGAATGGACTCAAGCTCAAAAGATTAAGGAACAACTAGAGTCCAGTTCCAACACCGGCAATAGGTTCAATACTTGATAACGCGCGAATTCACAAATCACGGTATACCAAAAGCAGTTTCAATCACAGTATATAAACAGTGGCTTGAAAGTGCTGGTCTCAGTAACAAAATAAGATTCCCTTTGACTTCTTTTGTATACTATGAATGTTTGTTTTCGATTGTTTCCCATTGTTTGTTCATTCTGGATCTAGAACTTTGTACTTAAAATATAATCACCCATTACATAATCTGCCAGCCATTATTCATTTGATTTGACACTTTGAAAGAAGATGACTTTTGATTTAATACACTTGAACCTTCAGAACAGAAAAGCATAGGTAACGCTTCAATTAAAACAAAGAGACCAGGATCCAATACTACACGAGCCATGCGCTCCTTCATCAAGACACACCGCAGAGGATCATCCACCAACATTGGTGACGGTGGGCTACCAGATCTTAATACTTCTTCAAGCACTACAGACTTAGCATCAGAAGACAAACACAATAGCACCATCTCTGCCAATTCATCCACCCCGTCGTCTCCAATACGGCAATCTACACCTTCATCACCATCCATAGTCAACAAGAGCAAGAAACTACATCGTCTTTTCCAAAGAAATAAAACTTCGTCACAAAACCTATTCAATCTTTCATCCCCATTATCACCAAATTCACCAAAAAAATCACCACCACCTTCCATCATAGGTACAAGGACTCATGAATGGGGTAATAACAATGGTGATAACTCCTCAAAATCAACTGGGAATAAGAACTCAGGTAAATCATTAAATCCAAGATCATCTCAATCCTCTTCAAATTCATTTTTGTCTGATGATGAAATTCATCAACTTTCTACAACTTCAACCTCATCAAGAGATCCATTTAGTTCAACCACGCACATTACAAATGAAAATGAATCAATTCAACTACCATTGAACACTGTCTTGGAAATTCCAAATGAAAATCTACTGGGTCCCATCATGAGAGAAATCCCAGGCTCAAAAGAGATGGATAAGAAGAATAGACATAGACGCGCTCAAATTATTTCAACAGATTCTTTCAAATTAGAAGATCCACCTGAGATAATACCCATTGCTGAATTACAGAAGCAAAAAGAAATTTCAACGCCAGAAATGTTTAATGATGGATTCATTGATCCTGATGAAACCGTGGCAGAGACTATTCACAATGAAAAACTACGACAAAAGAGAGAAAGTCAAATTGATTCAAACAATAAAGATTTACAAGACAATGAACAAGATGAAAATGAATATCAGTCTGATAACGATAGTGAGTTTTCATTTGAACAAGATAATAAACAAGGTAGAAATGTCTCAATTAGATATTATAAATCTCCTGCTGAAGATTTAGAAGAACGTCAAATTCAAAATGTCAAAGAACAAGGATTTTATGTTAATGATCTTATCGATGATGATTTTGATGAAGATTTGAATTATTATGATGAATATGGTGATGATTATAATGATGATGAGGAAATTTTCAATAAAAGATATTTTTCTGATGAAGAAGATGATACTACACATGTTAACAACACTGTTGGAGTTGTTGATGATAAGCCTCAAATCACACCAGAGAATTCGATCAATATAGATCAGAAGGAAAATCAATCACCGCCTGTGGGATATGACAATCAAAATGAGATTCAAGATGAAGATCAGGATGAGTACTATGATGATTATGATGAAGATGATTTTAATGATGATGAAGATGCTTTCAACAATAAATATTTTTCTGATGATGAAGAAGATATCGAACCTATGAAAAGATCATTAGTGAATCCTAATATAACACCAGAAAACTCATTTTTAGACAATTCATCAAAAATTGAAACTCCACTTGTTGAAAATTTTGAAGATGAGGTAACCCATAAGGAAGAAGATGATAATGAGGGAGAAGATATAGCCGCTGGAAGTATGCTTTCAAGTCTTTTAAGTACAGATAAGAAAAATGAAAAAGTTATCAATGAAAATGAAGATGAAACAAAGAATGACAATGCAGATGAAGATGTGGCAGCTAGGGATATCTTTTCAAGTCTTCTAGATTCAAATGAAAAGGAAAATGAAAACAAAAAGTCAAATGTCCAAAATAATAATGAAGAAAAACAAGAAGAAGAAGATTCAACAGCTAGAGATATGTTTTCAAGTCTTCTGGGATCAGACCAAATCAAAAATAAAATCTCAAACGATAGTATTAAGAAAAATAATAATAACAATGATGATGATGATGATGATGATGATCTGAAAGCTAGTAGTATGTTTTCAAGTCTTTTGGGTAAAAAAAATGACAATAGTATGCCAGGTAATAACAAAGATAATAGTGCAAAACCAGTATATCCAAGTCATAAAAATGGTTCTTTTCACGGAAGTCATCTACAACTGGATGAAGCACAACGAAGACCAAATGATGATTTGTTAAAACCAAGGAAATTATTAAAATATCATCAAATTTCAACTTCATTGGATCAAGATGTCCCTCAAAATAGATATTCATGGCTTAGTGAAGATGAAGATTTCCATAATAATAATAACTTAGACGGTATCAATTCAAGTTTTTCATTTGATTCATTATTAGATGAAATAAATAACATACCTGAAGATTTAGAATTTGGAAATGAAAAACCTGAACAATCACAATCAAGATCTAGATCAATGAATAGTAGTATTAAAAGAAATAAAGGTGTTTATGAAGATCTTCCACAAAATACAAAATTTGAAAATAATAATAAAACAGTTACATTATTTAATCGTCCATCACGTCAAAATTCAATTAAATCAAATAATTCATCTGAATTTCAAAATAATAATAATGAATTTGGTTATTTAACTCCAAATGGTTCATTTACTTTACCAAATCCAATGTTTGCAAACAATCAAAATAATGAACTGTCTCCTATAACAGAAGGCTCAATTGATGGCTCACCATAGATTAGCATTATATATTTATATGTGTATTATCAATCTGAAAAAAAAAAGTGCATTCTTTCGTTAATTTTATGTACATCGACGTCGTATAGCTCTTTGAAATTCTACCATATTGTTTAAATTTTACATACTATTTGATTTCTATGGTCCTTTCATAATTAAATAAAATCAATTAAACACGATACTAAACTATTAAAACATTATTAATTAAAACTTTATACTAACATACTAGAATTACTTTGATTTCTAATGTATGTTTCGAAATTATAAGATTGATTATTACGATAATCATAATAATCAGTTGGATTTGATGCTTGTCTATCTTGAAGTGCCACGATTGGACTCTCTCCATAAACGTAACTTTGTGGTCTTGTCATTTTTGGTTTTTGAGGTCTTTCTTGTTTTTGTGATTCTTCTGCTTTTTGTTTTTGTAATTGAACTTTCTTTAAATCTTCTTGTAATTTACGAATTGAAGTTAATCTTCCTTCATCTCTATTCTTAGATTTCAATAATTCCCTTTGTTTATTCAATAAAATTGTTTTTTGTCTTTGTAAATGATCTAAAACTTGCTTTGTTGATTTCATAGTATCATCACATAATTCAAAAACAGTTCTATTTTGTTCGGTATAAGTTCTTAATGGTCTTCTGTTACGATTTAATGATAATTCTTTAGCTTTCTCACTTGAATCATAATGTAGTTGAACTTCGGATCCAACGCTTTCAAATGAGAAGTTGGAAATTGATCTATTTGCTTTGTCAAATTCTAAATTACCTAAAGCAGATTTTGATCTCTTGTGACGAATATGTAATGGTTCAGTAACTGATACTAATTCATCATCCTCGTCTTCATCTAAGATAACAGTTTCACGAACTTTACCATTGATATTTTCAAATGTACTTCTATAACTATCATTTGATGGAACTCTATTGTTTCTGTTAGGTCTATTATCCTTTTTGGTAATGATATCATAACCTTCATTAGTTAAATCAATAGTAGTTGTTGAGCCCTTATGAATAGATTCTGTTGTTTCTGCTGTTTGATTTGATGAAGTGGCACTGAAAGGTTCACTAATTTCAGATTCATAACTAGATTGACTTGGGTTTGGTGAATTTTGAACTTTCTTTGGTGTTCTTTCGTGGACTTTATGATGAGAAATTTGACGAATTCTATCAGGTTCAGAGTTATCAATCAATCTTACAACTTGAGGCTCAAGTTGAGATCCTAATGGCTGACCACGTAATTTTTGAACATTCAAAGTTGAAGCAGATGTGGTTAGAGGTTTTTGCTGTTGTAATTGAGATGGTTGTGGTGGTAATTCTCTAACTATTGATCTTGATGGTACAGTTTCGGCTCTATTTTCAGTAACTTCATTTCTCAATCTGGATGTCAATGGTGGTGAATTGTTTTTTAATTGTCTTGGTTGTTTTTTACTCAAATCAACATCACTTCTTGAACTTAAAATGAGTCTTCCTAAATCTAGTAATTGTTCAGGATCAGCTTCAGGCTCTTCAGATAATGCTGATTCTGCAGTTTTTATACTTTGAACTTCTAAACTTTCTATATCGGAATGAGCAAGATCCAAACTTTCTTGAATAGAATCAAATGAAGCTTGATCATCTTCATCCTCGTAATTCTCTTTCTCACTTGGAATAGCACTTGGTATAGATGAATAATTACTTCCAGGTGTTTCCATATTTTGTTCGTCAGAAATATTTCTCAAGTTTTGAATATTCGTATTAATTTGTTGTAACTCTTTAGGTTTTTGTTGTTCACCAACATGAGCGGTTGGAATTTCTGAGAACTCATCAACTGGGAAATCAATAATTGATTTGGAACGTCTGTGAACATGGCGTCTATGTGGTGATGGTTGGGGTTGTGTATATCCAGTTTGTGCATATTGTTGTTGTAATTCTGATTGCTGTGAAGAATATTGAGGTTGATTAGGTTGATGGTATTGTGGTTGTTGATGTGGTACTTGTGCAAATCTCCCTAACTCAGAATGGTTTTGGTGGGGTAGCTCGTGAACTGGGCCAGATCTTGAGAATATACCTAAACCACGATCTTGATGTGAATCTTGATGAGCAGCTCTCGTTATTTGATCAACTTCTTTGTTAAAGACTTTGGTGGAATTAGATTGTTGATGTGAAATTCTAATTTGTGGATGTATGTCTGGTTGTTGTGATTGTTCTTTAGTTTGTTGTTTTTGGAGCTCATTTCTAGGTCTTGGTGGGAATGAAAAGGTTCTGTTGAGTTCATTATTTTGTGCCTTAGCAGCCTTGCTTGGATGTTGAATGAATTCCTCGTTATCTAATTGATTTTCCTTGAATAATTTAGAAACAGGACGAGAATATGGTTTATCAAGGTTTGGAATTTCAATCTGCTTTGACAGAACTTGTGGTAATGGTTTCTCTGCTCTTTGGGGAGCAGGTTGTTTGATTGGAATAGACTGTTTGATGGGTTCTGGTTTCTTTGTGATTTTAACTGGTGAATATGATTTTGATCTTGGTTCTGAGTCTGTTGGTGGAAGGATATTGGAAACTTTTTTTGCTTGTGGTGTATAGTAATCTATTTCAAACGGTTCATAATCAGTACCGTTATAAACCAAAGATGTTGGTCTTCTTTTATCCTTGTTATTTGGTGATAATATTGGTGGTAAACTTAATTCAAGTGGTATTGGAACAAGTTGTTTATTAAATTCAGTTTCACCTCTTATAAAAAGTTTCTTTCTATCAGGACTTGTATTGAGCATCTCTCTCATTGAATCAGCAACTGACAAAGGCCTTCTTGAGGTTGATCTTCCTCTTGGTTTATCTGGTCTAAATGGTGCTTGTAATTGTTTAGATTCTGAGTTAAATATAGATCTGTGATCAAAATCACCACTTATAATGCTATCATTAAGATTCATGCCACTAGTATCATCATCATCGTCTTCGTCATCATCATTTATACTATCTTGTGGTGGTAATGAAAACCTCACTTGTGAAGGAGTACCTCTCATTTGTCTTTTAGTTGGTGATCCTGACTTCACCATGGAAGATTGTAATACGGAGCCATCTGCTGCTTTGTATTCCTTCACACTTCTAGTTGGAGTAGCTGGAAGGTCCTTTAATATTTGATCTGTTGCGATTGAGGTTGGTCTCCTTTTATGACCTTTATTAAATGACATTTCTTTGAATAATATACCTCCTTCGAACTAGTTTTGATTGGATCTGAAACAAATCTGGCTGTCTAACTTTTTAAAGAGTTTAAATTCTTTTTTTAGTAGTAACCAAACCCTTGATTTTCTTCGAGCTTTTTGGTATATACCAAGGTGAAATATCTGGTTTTAATTGAATGAAGTCTAGTAAACAAACACCAACAACACGGTTAAACTTGAGCAGTCTTGATGTTTTCAAAGGGTATAAAGAAATGAAAGAATCAAAAAAGAGAATCAACAACCAAATTTTACTCTTCTGAGTTTCAGCTTCTGCTTATGCCTCACTTCTTCTTGTTGATATGTAAACTGATTTGGCGAGCTTAAGCGTAAGAAGGGCTTTCATCTTTTTTATTCTTGTTTACCTCTTACCGAAAAGAGCTACTTCGATCCGGTATGCGCAGGTCGGCTTTATTTTTTTGGCATGGAAACATCATAAAGAAGCCTAAAAAAAGATTTGGAAAGACCATTTGGTAACAAATCCCATACTAAAGCAGCAAATTCCAGAGCTTGAACAAATTAGCGAGACGCTTGTGCAGCTTTGTGAGTACTAGAGTATACCAGGTATACGTCCTTTGAAGTCATCCTCCCCGAGAAATGGCTGAGGGACGTTGAAGCACAATTACTTCTTGAAGTAAAGCCTATATTTCAGATAAACATATGAAGTTATGAACTGTTTATTGGCCTATTGATTTTTAGTTCGATTTCTAGCGTCGCATGTGGTGTACAACTTCGCAAGATATTGCAGACTCTATCACGGATTGGAGCTATAGGATCTTCATTTTGGACGTTAAGAGGATCAAAGATCAGCAATCTTCGAATATTATTCCAGTTAGAGCTGGAGCCTGAGAGCCTGAGACGAAGTACTTTTATTTTATATATAACTTACAAGTGTAGAAGCTGTAGGCTGACTATTACTAGTTTTGGGCCCCCATTTTATATGAGGACGTCCTTCATGCAGCTAGAAAGCCATAAATCGGCCGGTCATCGCTATTGTGAATTTTGTATACGTGTAATTGCCATATCAATCTGATATATAATTATTCATATATGATGATCAAACAACATTTCATTTGATAATTACATAAAGGCTACCAAGTTCCAACTTTTCAGCTTATCATGTAAGTTAGTTATTTGTGTAAATCCTCGAAAGGTTGATCCTCTCCAAGACAACCCAAGTATCAAGATAAGTAAACCACATCAAAATATATGCATATCATTTAGTACCATATCGTAACTTGTAACTTGTAATTAACCATGAACAAGTTTTCATTATCAAATTACTATAATCAATGTTGCTCTAATATCTATAACAAGAAAATCTATTAGGTAGGAATTACGAAAAGAATACGAGATGAATGAAATAGTATACGGCGTACAGGTGTAAAATCTCTACGATTGAACCCAAGTTTTTGACTTTGATTAAATATTCATCTATTTTGTATAAACGGAACATGCTCTTGAGACACAACAGAATCTTTAAGGATATTAAAGCTAAATCAACACTTAAAATCAATCAAAATCTTATTAAATCCACCAGCAATGATGTGTATATGATATGTGTTGTACTAAAGAAAAAACTAATACTATAAAACCATTTGAAACCCAAAAAAAACAAAGTTATGAACTAAAATAAAAATAATTTTGTATAAATACCAAAAACCAAAATTAAGCATCTTATAAGACAACGTTTTTGGCAAGTTTTTTCTTATAGTCACCAATTGAACCATCCCATCTTGTTGCTGTTTTACCTTCAACAACGAAAATATCTTTAGCAATTTTATCCAATAGACGGAAATCATGACTAACAACACAAACACCACCACTGAATTCATTGATAGCGTCAGCTAAGGAATCAATTGTTGGAATATCTAAACCATTAGTAGGTTCATCCAATAATAAAATGTTTGGTGATTCTAAAGCTAATAATGAGAAAACAACTCTTGAACGTTGACCTTCTGATAAAGTGGCCATTTGAGCGGTTTGAGCTTCACCACTTAAACCGTAACGACCTAATTGACCTCTCCAGTATTGATAATCTTGGGAAATATGAGAGAATTTATCACGAACGAATTCTAAAGCGGTTTTAGTTAAATCTAATTGATCAGCTGAATGTTGGGAGTAAACACCAACTTTAATATGTGTATGTCTTGAAACACGACCAGCTTGAGCTTGTAATTCACCAGTCATAATTTTTAATAAAGTAGATTTACCAACACCGTTTGGTCCAACAAGGGCAATTCTTGAATCCATATCAACACCAAAACTTAAATGTTCATATAAATTGTTTTCTGGATTACCATCATAAGCGAATGAGATGTCATCGAATGATAAAACTGGAGGTGGTAATTTATCAACATTTGGAAATCTAAATTCGAAAACTCTATCTGGAACAACTTTTTCAATTAAACCATCAGCTTCCATCTTATCCAAGATTTTTTGTCTAGATTTAGCTTGACGAACTAAATTAGCATAAGTACCAGCAGAAGCAATGAATTTTTTAATATGAACAATTTCTTCTTGTTGTTTATGATAACTCTTCATTTGATTGGTTTCTTGTTCAGATCTAGTTTTATGATAAGAATCATAGTTACCACCATAAGCGGTTAATTTTTGTAATCTCATATCAATCATGTTTGTACAAACACCGTTTAAGAAATCTTCAGAATGAGAAACTAAAACTAAGGTACGATCAAAACGTTTTAAATATTCTTCTAACCAAACACAAGCTTCTAAATCTAAATGCGCGGTTGGATCATCTAATAATAATAAAGTTGGTTTAACGAACAAAGCTTTAGCTAAAGCAACACGCATTTTCCAACCACCAGACATATCTTTAGTTTTTTTCAAAATAGTTTTAGAGTTGAAACCTAAACCAATCAAGATAACAGCAGCTCTTGATTCAAAAGTTGAAGGATCCATAGAATCAATTCTTTCATAAATACCTTCCAAAACTGGGGATTCTGGACCATCTTTAACAATGATTTCTTCAACCATATCTTCTAATCTTTTTAATTCATGTTCAGCTTCACGAACAACATATTCTAAAGCTGAGAATTCAGATGGTTCAGCTGGTTCATTTAATAAATAGACATCAATAGCTTCTGGAATTGGGTATTCTCTAGCAGCTAAAGCATTTAACAAAGTAGATTTACCACAACCATTTTCACCTAATAAACCATAACGACGACCATAATTTAATTCTAATTCAGAATCTTGAATTAAAACTTTACCATGGAATAATAATGAAACTGAAGAAAATTTAATATCTCTTGAAGTTTCTAAAGAATCTAAAACACCGGTGGTAACACGGTCAGAAATACCATCTTTATCTTGTTGTAATTTTAAGTTTTGGATTTCAGCAGCAGCAGCTTCACCAGCATCGACAGTTTTCTTTGTCTTTTTACCTTGAGCGGCTTTTTTAGCATCTCTTTTAGCTTTTGAAGCAGAAACAGCCATTTTTGATAAGTTTGTTTTCTTCTTTTCTAGACAATTAAATGAGTATACAAGTTTCCTAATAAGTTAATATTAAAAACTTGATTTGTCTTTTCAAATGTCAATTGTATGGTTAATTCAAAGAAAAGAAAGAGAAAAGGGAAATAGGTACCAAAGTTATAGTATTATACTCAGAGAAATCACAAACTATTTTAACTGTGCATTGAGAAAAAAAAATTTTGAAAAATTTAACGGAGGGTAACGCCATCGGAGTGTGTGTACCAGTGCTATAATCATTAAATAATCAAATGACGAAAATGTACATTTAACCAGGATTTCAATAAGTAAAAGAATTGTTGAGAAAAGAAGAGAATATTGGAAAGTTGATCGATTAGAGGGCCATTTGAAGATTACTATATGTTCATTTAGTGTTGGATGTATATTATAAGTTGGTGAAAAATTGCGGAAAGCGTAATATGCGTTTCTTTTCTTTTAGTTTATAGCTTGAATAGTCGTGAAATTTTCATTACATGATTGGAAATTACTCGATTGCGATAAGCTGAAATTATATAACATTCCATAACGCTATACCACCCATTAACAGAGTTTCTATGATATCCTAAAGTAAATCATCTAGGAATGCTTCATCGCTTTTTAATGCAACTGGTGTCTTATTCTGATTTTTTTCACTTGGTTGTGATTGTGATTGTGATTGAAATGATGGATTGGATAGATCATGGGGTATTTGTTGTGATTTGATTGTAGATTTATTTGATCTTTTACTAAGTAATCTCTCTAAATCATCTATATCATCTTCACTTTTATCATAAGTAGAATCTGGATCATCAAATTTTGAATCTATAATTTTCAAATTTCGTAGTTCATCATTTGACATTTTTTTAAAATCTTTAAATGATGATTTATCTTTTTTAGAATCAATCTTATTAAAATTTAATTTTTTAAAATCTATATTTTTCAATAGTTCTTCATCATCTTGATCAAGACCTAATATTTCTAATTCATCTCTATATCTCCATGCATTTGTCTTTGTCTTGTCAATTTTGGGTCTTCTAACCACTGTAACACCTTCATCGTTTATAGCTTCATATTGATCACCGTGTAAGACAAATCTACCTTGTTCATCTGTTTCAGGATCTAACACATCTTCATATTCAATTTCAGTTTCTTCAATCTGTTGTGGTTCTTCTTTATTCTGATCTGTTGATTCCTTCGGTATCACTTTTGAGTAATCTTTCTTATGGTGTCTCTTCAATTTGGACTTGTCTTGAAACTTCTTACGATTCTCTTGCTTGATATTGTAATCCATTGTGTAATTGTTAACTCTATGTCACTAGTACAATCCTTAAAACAACTAAAACTACTCTTATATTAATGTCTTCTATTTGAGTCTATTATACTCTTCTTATTGTATTCGCGATTGTAGTAAAATTATTCAGGGTAATATTGCAAGCTTATGTAATAAATTATGAATTTTGGTGGCCAACCATGTTTCTGTTTCAAAATTTCACGAACAAACTCCCTTTACTTTTTAATAATTTAAAACTAATGACAACAAAACCACAAACAATTTTGATAAATATCAACGTTTTTACACAGAATATTATTATGAAATACTTGAGTGATAGAGTTATAATAAACAGAACATTATATCCTACCGTCAAATCCAACATTTAACTACTACTATTGTCAAAAGCATCCAACAACAAATCTCACATTATAAACAAAACATATTATGATGGTTCATGATCAATTTAAAAATCAAGATACCAAATATTTTAATCAACATAAAAATGATGGTTTAAGACTTCCAGAAGCTCGTTTACCAAATGGTCAAGCGCCAGATTTTGGCGGATCTTCTAAACCAAAAAGACAACATCAACCACATCAAAACAAGAGTCATAATAATGAAAAGAAAAGACCTTCAAGTTCTAGCGGTAATCATCAAAACAACAACAATAACAATAACAAAGGTCCAAACTCAAGACCAAATAGTCATAATGGTCAACCAAAGAAATCCGCTGGTAACAAAAACAATAATAATGGGGCTAATAACAATGTTAATAATAAACAACATAGATCTCCAAAGAATAATAATAATCAAAAAAGTCCCTTATCATCACCAAAAATTACAAATTCTCAAACATATACCTCAACTCCTGGTAATAATAACAATTATCCAAGCGCTCCATCTTCATCAGCATCAAATCTGCCAATTAAGAAGAGATCATCTGATAGTTATGCTGGTCATACTTTCCATAGTTCACCAGGTACAAATTCCCTACCAAAGCCATCATTTATATGAATTTATGAATTTATGAAAATGGAATAACTAAACCATTTTTGGTTTTTGTTTTCATGATTATGTTTTATCATGTTATACTATTATTTTTTTTTATATTATCAGATTTATTATGTTTGTGTTTTTACTTTTATTGAATTTATTGGTTTTATTACAAAGCTTACAGAAAATGCAATAGAATTTTGTTATAGATTTTATGTTTGTTTTACAACATTTGATACACTTTTGCTTTAATTCTTTTGTTTATTTTTATGGGGGCGTTATTATAAATTTTAAAGGCTTTCAATTCATTTTCAATTTTATTTTTTTATATATTATTTTATTTTTTATGTATCTCAATTTAGATACTATTTTCCAAGTCATTATGAAATGTCATAACATGATTGACTTTAAACATTATTTTTTATGGGGTTTTTGGTGGTTTATTTTTTTTGTCACACATTTCCTCAGTTTTTATGGTTGAATTAATTTTTTTTTGAACTTATTATTATACAAGATATATACAAAATACAAGATTATCGACAAGTTGAAAGTTTATTCATATTCTTTTACTTGTTGATTATTATCAAAGTTTAAAACAATTTATACTTATTGTAAATTCAAATTATCTGTTATATATACAATCAAATATTTCTAACAAAATGAGTTGGACATTCATATCCTGAAGGATTATTATGTAAATATAATTGATGATAATCTTCAGCATCATAAAAATTTTTAATTGGTTCAACTTTAGTAACAATTGCATTCCCCCATTTTGGTTGATATTCTTCTGTAACTTGTTTAGCAATTTTTAAATCTTCATCATCATGTGTGAAAATTGCTGAACGATATTGAGTACCTTGATCAGGACCTTGACTATTTAAAGTAGTTGGATCATGAGTCTTATAAAAAAAACCTAATAATTCTTTTAATGAAACTGTTGATGGATCATAAGATATTTGTAAAACTTCAGCAACTATTTAAATTTTATATTGTTAGTACTAATTTAAATGGCAAAAACATATTTTAAAAAACTGTGTACTATAATTGAAATACTTACAATTTGTATCACCTCCACAAACTTGTTTATAAGTTGGATTTTCAGTTTGTCCATTAGCAAAACCAACTTTTGCATCTATTAAACCTTTTGAACCATAATGTTTTCTAAAAATATGTTCAACACCCCAAAAGCATCTATTCGATTAATATATTAGTAATTAAACTTATAATAGATCCCATATATATAAGATAGTAAAACATACCCAGCTGCAATTGTTATTAATTTGTTTGATTGTGGATTGAATTTAATAGTTGGTGAAATAACTGACATCTTATAACTTGTAATATTTGATTTTAATGATTGTTATCTATGTTAAAAAAAAGAATGTTTTGAAAGATTCCGTTTATCGATACTTTATGAGTCTTTGAAATGGTTGTCGCCACATAATTTAACGGTTGCCACAGTACAGTAGTTAATAACTTGATCATGATTAACTTATAAGAGCCAACTTTTGTAGGATTCAATTGCTGGATTGACATCAAGAACAATTTATATCTGCAGATTATCTGTCGTGAAGGGTGTACTAGCTTTATTTTTTTTGAATATACGGGTTAGTTATGATCTTATCTGGGATCATATATGTTGAGATCTTTCTCTATTCAAATATTTAAACCTTCGAACGTCCATGATCTAAATAAATGAGCTATATAACAATATTGGTTTTGAAAGCTAGTTTCGTATTCGGATCCTTAGTACTTCTTCAATTTGAAAGTATGACTTTTGGAAGTTAAATCATTACTCCAATTGACAAATTACCTTGATAAGATTCTAATCAATTCTGATCTTTGATTATTGCATGACTCAAAACTCTTTATATAATATTATGATGATCTTCCAGACCAGATATATTGGGGTTATCATTAATTAATTATTGATTTTAATTAATTATATGTAGATCATATACAACTTGTACACGTATATACTCGGCGGCTAATTACTAGTTGATATAATTTAGTGGATCATGAGCAAACTTAGTGATACCCATATACAAGGTTCACACGGCTTATGCTTTAATAATTGATCAATACATTCATGTTTATAGTGTGTTCTCTTTTTCTAGTACATCAAATCAATATACTGTGTCACTGTGTCTAATATATTAAATCATTCAAACTTCATTATACTGAAGTCCGCAAAAACATTTCTTTTTCCAGCGTATGTGTCAAAATCAAGTATAGCATCTCGGCGCCACTATTTTATTTTACTCCAATTCATGAAAAGATCTTAGTACTTCATTGAGTAACAGGTATGACTATAGATTACAAGCGCTGACACTATAAAGAGTTAATAACATTTCATAACCTATCATATGTTGGGTAAGGTCACTTGTGAACTAATTATAGCATCTCAACTGATCCATGAGCGCTACCGCATCAAGATCACTTGATTATTCACTGATAAGTTATAACCACTATTGTTGAATTTCATTTTATTTTCTCAGCGTATATACCTCCAGAGTGATACATGGTTCAGAGTTAAAAAATCAGGTACCAGGAATCCGATTTAAAGCTATATATAACCCATGACTAACACTAGCGCTGTTTTGTGACAAGCTTTATATTACATCAAAATGACACCATCCTTTGGAACATAATCGAACACGTATACCTATTCTTTCAGATCATTTACCTATCTCCAACTTATGTGTCACCAGATTAAACAAGTATATACTGTTTGGCCTAAAACAGCTAAAAAATTGTAGTTTTTATCAAAGCCCGCACTGCAAGTAGAGTTCAAATTTGATTTAGTATAGCACGGCTACCTTCATAAACCAAGATTTGGAATTCTGGATACTCCATGTGTCTATTTACAGATTTACTATAAATCTATGGGATTCCCTTGTCTTTTGTTTCTCTTAATTGGATCTTTATCAACCTCTTCAACTTCAACTTCAAGTGAACTCATCATTATAATCAATTTAGATCTAAAGAATTTATTTGCTCATATTCGATAAAACCGAAGAGATCTATATTATTTCCGAACAAAGAGCTCAATTACTACAGTTATTTCAACAGTTATCGATTGAATTATCTATTTACTAGAGTAGCCTTGGTCTTGTCACATAATTCAAATTCAGATATATAAATTCATTGTTTTCCCCCATTATCCAAGTGATCTATATCAAACTTACAATCAATCAATTCAAATACATCACATCACATCATGGCTGACGAATATCCTATTGTTACTAAAGAAGAATTTATTAAAGGTGTAGGAAATACACCATTGGTTAAAATTGAATCACTTTCAAAAGAAACAGGTCGTGATATTTATATCAAAGCTGAATTCAAAAATTCTGGTAAATCAATTAAAGATAGAGCGGCTATTTATTTGTTAAATGATGCATTATCAAAAGGTACATTAAAAGAAGGCGGTACTTTAGTGGAAGCTACTGCTGGTAATACAGGTGTTGCATTAGCTTTAATAGCAAGAACTTATAATCCACCATTTAAAGTTGTTTTATACATTCCAGAAACTACTGTTACTGAAAAAATTAATGTTTTAGAATCATTAGGTTGTACAGTTATTAAAGCTTCAATTGTTCCACCAGATCATCCAGAATTTATGAATACTTTAGCTATAAAATATGCTGAAACACATGAAAATACAATTCATATAAATCAAATGGATAGTTTAGTTAATCGTCAAGCTCATTATGAAACCACAGGTCCAGAAATTTGGAAACAAACTAATGGTAAAATTAATGCTTTTGTTGCATCTTGTGGTACTGGTGGTACTTATACAGGTATTGCATCATATTTAAAAGAAGTTTCAAATGGTAAAGTCTTAAATTATGTTTCAGATAGAGAAGGCTCAGGTTTACATTCTTATGTTCAAAGTAAAGGTACAAGTTGGGAAGCTGAAGGCTCATCATTTGTTGAAGGTGTTGGTAAAACAGCACATACTGGTAATACAGAAGGTATTTTAAATTATACAGATGGTTCATATAGAATTTTGGATGAAGAAGTATTGGTAACAATGTATAAGTTATTAGATGAAGATAATTTATCAGTTGGTGCTTCATCTGCTTTAAATATAACTGCTGCTAAAAAATTAGCTTTAACATTACCAAAAGGTTCAATTGTTGTTACTACTGCTGCTGATTCATCTGAAAGATATGCAAGTAAGGCATTCAATAAAGAATGGTTAATTGAAAATGGTCATTGGGATAAAATACCACAACATTTACAAAAACATGCTAATTATAATAATTAAAATTGTGTATACTATAAATAATAAACTATAGACTTTGCCTAATAATTATAGGCTTATACGTAAAGTTAAAGGCAAAAGGCTAAAGGCTATATATATTAAAGGCTAAAACTGTCACTAAACTCCCAGATTAGGCAGGTGTCCGAATCCAGTAAATTGCAATCTATGTTCTGCAAAATTCGGTGCCTGCAAAATTTTCATATAAACAAAGCCAGTTAACTAGTAAATCAAAATTGAATCAAAATTGAATCAAATTACATCGTTTAAATCCATGAAAACATTGGAAATTTATACTTAAAACTCAGTTAAAAAACATAATACTACCTTTAACCATTTAATTACACTCAACTTATCTTCAATTGTTTAAATAACTTCATTTCTAGAAGTAATACATAAAATTTTTCAGTATCCAATTGACGTATTTTACCTTTGCAGTACTAAAATTCATCGCACATCGTTTCTTTTGGCAGAAGATCCTCCGTACATGAAGGGTCGCCCTACCAAGCCTTTCTTCCCAACTTGCGTAATTCCAAGACTTGCTTTGTGTAAATTTCAGAATACCCTGTCTAAATTCAAATCTGTCTGTCTATTTCTACACATGTACAATTTATTTTGTTCTATGGAACTTTTTTTTTTTTTGCATGTAGATAGTTGATTGGGAAATTTTCAGGAAAAATTTTTTTTGAATATATAAGGAAAGTTTTATCGCCACTTTTCAATTAAATTTAAATACTTCTCAATTCTTCGTCCTCACACCGGAAATCATTTTGCATTCCTTCTGAGTTAGATTAGAACATATTAAAATGGTAAGTGGCCTTGATTCATTATCCATTCAGTTCAATTGGGTTTATAATTAGGTTTTGAAAAAATTTTCATAACCTTTTTTAGATTAAATTTGATCTGAATTTTAAAAGGATTTGGAAAAGTTTGATCAAACATTGAAATAAATAGAAGAATAGATCATGAATCAATTGAATATTAGTATTTGATTGATTTTAATATATCATCTTCATTTTTATTTCATGATTGGAAAAATTTTTCACATCCCCACATCACAACCAAAAAAAAATTTCAATATACTAACAATTCTTTCAATAGGGTAAAGAAAAATCTCACGTTAACGTCGTCGTTATTGGTCACGTCGATTCAGGTAAATCAACCACTACTGGTCATTTAATTTTCAAATGTGGTGGTATTGATAAACGTACCATCGAAAAATTCGAAAAAGAAGCTGCTGAATTAGGTAAAGGTTCTTTCAAATACGCTTGGGTTTTAGATAAGTTAAAAGCTGAAAGAGAAAGAGGTATCACCATTGATATCGCTTTATGGAAATTCGAAACTCCAAAATACCATGTTACCGTTATTGATGCTCCAGGTCACAGAGATTTCATCAAAAATATGATTACTGGTACTTCCCAAGCTGATTGTGCTATC